GATCCTAAGCTTTTTAGGATTTTGAGAAAACTGACATTTCTGACCAAATCGCATGTGTGTTATCTAACAATAAGTAAAAGTACAAAACAGGAGGCACAGTCCCTTGAAACCTTGCTGTGCTCTCGTTTTGTGCTCCCCAAATGGTCTGGCAAAGCTGGGTTTGTTTGAGCGATTCATTGACCGCCAATACAACTATTCGTTCCAGCCGTACAACAGGTGATGGCCCAAAGCTCTATTGGACCTTTGCCTTCTGAGTCGTCCCACATGAACAAGAGACGGCACCATCCTTGCGGCACGTATTCTCCCCCACCGTGCCCCACTATTACCCCGACCCCGATAGTACCATGAGGGGTAAGGGGAGGGGGGAGGGGGGACGGGGGCAGCCGGCTGCGGCGGTGAGCCACTCGTCTGGTCTTTGAGTGTTATGCATGATTCGCCGACACATAAACCACTTATCTTTTCAAGCGGGCAACCATCCTTTATTTTCGAATTTGTGGAGACCAAACTACGCTCTTTCACAAGCAACTAAGAAAAGGATCAATATCACAAAGGAAAATTATTTTTCGTGCCTTTCAAAAGCTCATGGTGCCCTGATTATTATTTATTGTACAAAAGTGATTTAAAGGGTAGCATACAAATATTCAGGACAGCTTTCTGATTTTTTGACGCATAGTTATGTCAAATCATCTTTCAAGCAGGTGGAAAGAATTGCCACCGAAGGTAGCTTGCAACTACGCACCTCGAAATTGCTGAAGGCCATAACTCTGAAACGATGCAACCGAGGAATTAAAAAATAATTTCACAGGTGACTTCAGCACTCATGGCAGCCACTGTAACTCATTTCAGCAAAATCCAAGGTATGAGGAATGCAAACTTGAGGAAGTTTTGACACTTGAAAAACGTAAGGTTTTGGCGCCTATGAAAAACGGTGCCTAGGTCAGCGACAGATAATGAGACCATCTTTTGTATGGTGCCAAAATCACAAAACATTGGTTTCTGTTGAACCAAATATATGGTCTTCCGAACGACGCGGTCAATGCTAAACAAGGCATGAGCATGATGAGCAACGACTCTATGACGTCATGAGCCGTCACCCAAATCGGTAAAATCCCGGAAAACCTACCTGTTTCCACCTCCTTGGCCGCATGGACCGGCATGTAAACAAGTCCGCTGCTGACGACGGGCGTCTCAGGCAGTAATATGTTAGGGGCGCGATTGACCACTGGCAGAACCGTGTCCACGATTTGTCCTCTTCGCCAGACGCGTTAGTAGCCTTGACGCGTTAGATAGTTAGATATACGCTAGATAGCCTTGCACAGACGTAGCTGTACGATGGGCTGTTGCTCTGTAGCCAAATGCTACTCGCGTAGAAAGCACCCTCCGGGTGTCTCATTTTTTACTTTTCCTCAAGACCCGTCGAGGAGGAGAGAGTGGGTGAAGAAATGTGCCAGATTGGACAAATTTTGTGTTGCAACTGCACGAGTGTGTTCCTTGCATTTTACCAAGGAGGATTTTGACCATTCAGTACTTGCTGAAGAGGCACCTCATGCCAGATGTGATGGCAAAGGCTGTTCTCCGAGAAGGGGCCATTCCATCGGTGAATTTGCCCTTGACACCATCCAGGTGAATGACTCAATCACCATGTGCTCATATAATAATGATAGGGGTTTGATAATCTCTTCTAGTTATGTATGCCTGCTTGAACTCAGGTCAGTCAGCAAAAATATGTGCACTGTAGTGGATTCCTTTGTGACATTTGACACCTATCCTGATGTCCATGTAACTTTACCATGATGTGATGTGGTGTCCTGATTGCTGAACATCACATTTAAGTGGACTGGACATAGGCCAGGCTAAATCATGCTTAATGTTCCAATTTGGTCTTGTTTGAAGGTATGTTGGTCTGGGATCACATTCATAACACCCGCATCACAGTTCCTTCAAAAATGGGGCATCCATGCGTGGCCATGCAACTGTGTGGCATAACCTCTAGGCCAGGCTGCAAAGAAATGTGCTACCCACAAACACATCCAGACCACAGGCAACAGCACTGGCCTGCACATGTGCATGGCAAATCTTTGTACTCAGAGCTTGGTCACAGTCACCACTACTTTCAGTGCATGAAGGACCCGTGGTTGGAGGAATTCTGGTTTTCACAGGTACTGAGAGGCAGAGATTCTCTAAAAACATTTTTCAATCCAAAATGATGTGAACAATTATCACACTTTGGCTTGGCCTGAGTTTGGCTTCCATAAGTGCAATGTTCAGTATTCTTAAAAGATGAACTACTTATAGAATGCCAGTATTATAAATGATGCAAAAATGCAAGTCTTTGCTGGTGGCCTGCTAGGCTTTTCTTTTGTGAATTGATGTGATAGGTAAGGGCCTAAACATATAAAAGGGTTGGAAGACATCTTTGAAATGCCAAACAAAAGGCACTTGACTTCAGCTCCTCTTAGTTGTGTGATGATGTGGTGGACAAGTCTTTGTGGCTTGAATGGGGATCATTCTATTCCTTATATTTGCTGACAAAATGTTTTGTATGCATTCTAAGAAACATGGGTAAAATATCCAGTTCAGTAAGGGAGGCTTTATGCCCTTTCCCCCAACTTTGGAAATCATGTAGGCCAAAACCATGGGAAGCCTATTTGTTAGCATTTTTGGATGTAGCTTGATGACTTTGACTGATCTGCGCCCCCCCCCCCCTCCCTCCAATCTTTTTGTGAAACTATACTATGTGTGCACCAAATGGCATTTGGTTCTGATAAGCCTTACGGGTTCATGCTCAGGTGTTTGACCAGTGTTGGTGGTAGGTCATGAATCCCTGTAATTTGAGATGGGCTTGTAGCTTTAGTAGAATGCTTGATATGTAAACAGGAGGGTGCTACCAACTGCTGCCACCTACACTCTGCTTCACCTGGATATAAGATCCTTTGCAGATATAAGGATCAATGAGATATGCAGCTTCACAGGTGGTTAAACAACCCAAAATGGGCCCCCTAATCATGAAAGCATACTGACATCTGTATTGTATTCATTGACATTCTGTGCTGCCTCACTAATCCACATTTTCCGTGCTCTCCCTTAGATACTTTCCAGAATCCCTCACAAGATATTGCACTGCTTTGCACATTTGGTTTTCACCAGGTTGAAACCAGCCATGCTAAATTGGTCAGAGGTGTTCAATTTGTGTTGTTTATGGGGTTTTACAGGAAGGACAGGCAGCAGTGTAGAACCAAGTGGTCAGAGATGTTCACTTAGTTTGTTTGTGGGGTTTTCCAGGAAGGACAGGCAGCGGTGTAAGACTAAGACGTCCTGTGACAGCTATCTGGGTGCTACACAGACTGTTCGGGTCGGCGCTTCTTCCTCACGTCGGTGAGAAGCTCACCTGTTTGTTCACTTGTGCATGTGTGCCATGTGCATTGTGTTTGAGAGATTGACAGGATTGTTCTCTTGGCAACAGCACTAGCCGGGTATTCATGCTTTACGCATTAGCAAGGCTTAGTAGAGGTACACCTTCATGCAACATTCAGGAATCTCACCATTTTTCAATGACTCATCATTTGGGTTGAGATCTTAGATATCACAATGTGGTGTACCATTGGTGCTTTGTGTGTCAGAACAACTGCACGGCGTTGTGCCTCCTGCGCATGACAAAAAACCGTCTCACTTTGGACATGTGCTGGAAGAGAACAGTGCTGAGTTGCTTGCTTCAAAACTTGTGAAGAGTTGTTGTTGCACCATTTCCTCCTTTGTGACTATTGGCGGTCGACGCGTTGTAAAACTCATCTCCTTCGTCACTTCTTCCTCTCACATCAGCATTTCTTCTGCTCACATGAACATTTTGCCCTTCCTGCAGCCGAGGTGCATTGCGGTGCGTGTCAGCTTTCACGTGATCATCTTGTTGATGGTAACTTCTCGCTGGGATGGTACTCAGGCGCTACAGAACTGTTTTACCATCGGCGGCTAGCGGTGGGTGAGCCTGGGCGTCTGGCTCTGGCTGGAAATCATGGTGGCGGCGGCCGAATTTCACACCCGGCATCTATGAGCAGCGGCGGCTGCCTTCAGGATACAATCGCGGTTTCCATCTCTGGGATCTATGTTATCAATACCCACTTGAGACCTGTGTTCATGGGGCTTGAATGGTTGATTCGCACATAAAAAAGGTTATTTGCCAAAACGTCAGTGACTTGACTCCGCCGTGGTCCTCTTGAAACGGAAAAATTGCGCTCAATAAATTGTGATGAAAGCCAAGCATTTTTAGCATGCGTTTGTAATCGTTGCGCCATACTATGCATTCTCGCAGCATTCGAACGTTAATGACGCTTTGCTAGTAATCCTGGAGCCATGTCATGCATTCTCGCAGCATTCAAACGTTAATGACGCTATGCTAGTAATCCTGGAGCCATAGCATGCATTCTCGCAGCATTCAAGCGTTAATGACGCTATGCTAGTACTCCTGGAGTCATATCATGCATTCTCGTAGCATTCAAGCGTTAATGACGCTGTTCTAGTAATCCTGGAGCCATATCATGCATTCTTGCAGCATCCAAGGATTAATGACGCTATGCTAGTAATCCTTGAGCCATGTCATGTATTCTCGCAGCATTCAAGCGTTAATGACGCTATGCTAGAAATTCGTGAGCCTTATCATATATTCTCACAGCATTTGTAGGTCTCATAATGTGACTGATCAGCAAAAGCATGCGATGCCAGGCATCATGTGTAGGATGGACAACATTAAATCCAACCAAACCATAGGGTGGTTTGCTGCCAATCAATTCGCAATCATCAATCCACAGGCAGCAAGCAATGACTAGTTTTGAATTTGACTTTGCAGAATGTTTAGTAGCCTTACAAAGCTTGTACATAGCCATGATTGTCCTTGGATAAACATTCACTGCTATCGGTTTGTGTGTTATTTCAGAAATAGGCATGCTCTTACCAAAGAAGTACAAAAGACCCAAGGACGCCAGAGAGACAGAAATGCGGCGCCTGCAAAGAACGCCCGGTCTCCACGGAGGTTGGAAACATACACCGGGGGTCAGAGGTGCACCAGATCTCTTTCCGCTCACAGAAAGAAATATGGTGTCGCACTTATGAAGCCGGATAAAGTGCACCCGTCGAAGTCTGGTGGTGACGAAGACGGCGGATCTGAGGGAACGGCGCTGGCCGAAGTCAGCCGCGCGCACCAGAAACCCGCGAAGAGGTCTTGCACCGGCCCGCTGGGCCGGGATGAGTTCGATGTGGAAGGCGTGCAGTTTGATGACCTGCACGACCATGCCCAGAACAGTGAGGGTGGCTGCGAAACGGCGGAGATCGGGATTCCATATGCGGTAGACGTGCCGATGGAAACCCTCGACGATCATCTGATGATTCTGAATGATGTGGTGGACCCATTTCCAAGCAAAGCCAGGCGCGACCACCAGGTGTCTGCGAACGAGACTGCTCTGAATGCAAGGGCGTCCAAAGGTGCGTGGTATCCTTGTAATGTTGCGGCCATTTGCTCGTCATAGTTGCACTGCCTCTTTTCTTTTCGCCGAGCTCAATCTTAATGGGCTATATATATGCTATTTTTGCTAATCTTGCTATATATGCTATTTTTTGGTGGTCTTATTTTAACTAGCAAGACAAGCCTGTGCACAATATTCTGGATGTGGTCAGACATAAGCCAAATACAACGTTTTGACAATATCTTCAATCTTGTGATTGACATTTCTGTTATAAATCCTAACATCCAGTCTTTGACATTGACAATATCTTCAGTCTTGTGATTGATATTCCCGTCCCAACAACCTGCTTCTAGCAGTCCCGTATTGCTTTTCAGGTTTTCAATTCCGGGAAATTATAACCCCTAAGTCATTTTCTTCCTCCATCTGGTCTAACTTCCGGCTTTCCATTCTAAAGATAATGTCCTTATTGTTAAAACTACCCAAATGCGTCGCCTTACACTTATCATGATTGAATGGCACCTGTCACGGAGAAGCCCAGTTCACTAGGTTCTCTAAGTCATGCTGAATTTCGCTCACCTGGTCGGTATTTTTCAACATCCCTGCCAATTTAATGTTGCCACCAAATTTTACTACATTACTCTTAAGTCCCTATCTCAATATTACTCACAAAAATAACAAAGAGCGAGGAGACCAACCCCGACCCGTGTGGGATCCCACTCTCTACTAGCTCCTGCTGAGATTTTGCACCACTGAGCACAACTCTTTTGTTTCCTGTCTAGCAGTGAAGCCCTTATTCAGGCAAGATTTTCCCTCAATGCGATACAATTTTAACTGGTATGGCAGACTGCTGGTGTGGCATCTAACCAAACGCCTTACTAAAATCGAGATTAACAAGATTTCAATTACTGACTTTATCTATCTCACTAGCCACATGTTCCATAACTCTAGAAGATTTGTCTAACAGGGCCTACCAGAAGGAAAACCACACGGACTACTGTGTTTTAGCTGGTGCCTTTCTGGGTGTGACTTAATACTTGCCTTAATTAATTTTTCTAAGATCTTGCATGCATTTCTCGCTAGACTGACAGAACTGTAGTTGCTGACTTTTTCGGTCTCTTTCGTAAATATCGGCACTAAATTGGCATGGTGCATGACCTCGGGCAAAACTCAGAAGCTTAATGACCTATTGGATATTAAATTACGAGCATAAACTCAAGTGCTAGCACATTCATTCAGCACTCTACCATATATTTTGTCAGGTCCGGCCGCCTCACCGTGTTGTACATGTTCTCCATGTTTTTCAACGTGGATATTCGCATATTATTTAACGAACATCAAGCCGCGGTCGTGTTGCTTTGCAATGCGGAAATATTGGCGTAAAATGGCCTCAAGGGGCTCAACTTAATCTGTCATGAAGTGAACCTTTTGCTGCTGAAAACTGTGGGGAAGCAAGATGAAGTGGTTGCAAGGATATTCACTTCACAAGAACGTCACGGCCGGTAAGGGCCGCTGTGTGTTGTTCCAGCTTAAGTAAGCCTCGCTTGGTTTACGGTCTTTCAAGTGACCATTTGACAACTGCGTTCTCAAATCGATTGTCGCGAATGTCGTCGAATATTTGTTTTTATTGGAATAATCTGGAAATATTGATTACCTCGCAGCCAAAAAACAGAAGATGTGACGACTACACGGTAATCGATTACAATTATCGTTTCGTTGAAAAACTTGGCTGTGTGTGTCACGAAATTTGCAAAAATGCACACCACATATCATCGCATTTTCTCTTCTGTCCGCAGACGAAGGCTCCTTTGTCACGCGGATGAAGGAGATATTCCGGATGAAGCAGAAAATCCGGCGGCTGGAAGAAAAGTGCAAGCGTTTGATGAGCGACCCTTCGGCCAGCGGACCGGACCGTCTGCCTGTGTCCGTCGACGCCGCGGGTTCGGCTGCTGGGGACGTCACTGGATGTGACTGGGTCAACGGGAGGGGTCACGTGGCTGCTAGCGGCGAGTCCGGGAGTTCACAGGCCGTTACTGAAGTGGGGGACGAGCCTCTGGTGGTGCTGAGGGATGAGGTGTCGCCTCTCAATGTCATTGGCATGTTGAGGGAGTACGAGCTATCTGACGAGATGATGGCGCACACGCCGTCGGACCTGCAGGAAGCTGTGGAAGTTAACCAGCGCCTGAAGATTCAGAATCTGGCCATGCTGGCCGCTATTCTTGACTGGATTGTCAAGAAGCCGATGGAGTGGGGCCTGAAGGATAAGTTGACACATTCTAAGAAGTGTGCTGAGCAAGTGGTGAAAGCGAATTCGACACAGACAACCCCTAGGCGGTGTTTTGAGCAAGTGGTGAAACGGAAACGGTTGAAAGAGCTTCTGCATCTTGAGAAAAGCATTCAGGGGATATTCACCGAAGCGCAGATCAAGGGCATCACGAGGGACTTCTCGGCCAGAATTCAAGAAAAACGCAGGAAGGTAGTTCTGTGGAGCGAAGAGGACATGCGTCGTACGATGGAGCTGAGGTCCATCGGCTCAGAAGACGTGCTGAACCACGTCAGGTGGCGGATGAAGATACCCTTGCCGAGCATGGAGACGGTGAAGTGGCGATGCCGGAAATCTCCTGAGCTGAACGCAATGTACAGGTCGATGTTGACCAAAGGGAACGAGGGGCCTCACTGCGGCCTGTGCCAGCGCGCACTGGGCGCCGTCGATGACGTGGCAGGGACCATGTTGGAACGGCCCAGTGACGTGGCCAGGAGCCCGCTGAACTCCGCCGACCTCTCCGGAACATCTCGACAGTGCAGGCTACCCTTCACGGAGGAAGCGAAGCGGGGCGGTGACGCGTCGGTGTTGAAAATAAGGTATCCACCGCGGAAGAGAGCTCGCGAAAGGTCCGAGGACAGCGAGTCGCCGGACAGCGACGAGGATGGGTACGGGGACCCGGGTGAAGCGGCGTTCGGGCTTAGTGCGCGTCCCAGGGAATGTGAGCAAAGCATGCCGACCGTCCTCAGTCACTCAACGGGCGTTCGTAACCAGTCGAGAAAATGTTATCTCTGATGCGGCGCCCAATGCACGTGCGATGGTGCGCCCTAGTGGCGCCCACACCGATAATATTCTGCGGAGTGCGTCTATCGAGGAAAATAACTTTGTGTCACAAACTGTCGTAATCGGCCATAGATATCCCCCGATTACAGCTTTGAACTTGCATCGTTGAACAAAGATTGTCGCTCAGGCTTTGCGAACTTTGTGCCATGTTGGACTTGCTTGATGACAAAAGGTCTTCTTTTGAGGTCTTGGTTACGTTGGAGGCCATGTGTAGCTCGGCTGTGAGGATGGAGCTCGGCTGGAAATAGACAATAATCGTCGAAAAAGGCGACCAGTATCGTGTAGGCGGAGGAAGTGCATCATGTTCGTACATCCCGCTCCTGAGAAACCAATGGTAATACAAAGGCGAATTTGTCATCGTATTTCAGGTGGCTCGACTGGTACGGGCCCTACAAGGCACTTTGATTTTCAGCAACTTGGCGAGTTTTATGGTCACATTTCAACTATTAGATCGGTGTGATCGGGGGTATTGGTGGAAATTGCGTTATGCAAGGTGTGGCCGACTATACCATCTCGGAGTTCCGCTTCATCCAGGGACGTCAGTATCTGAAATCGGTCGGGGAGCCAATAAATTTTACTTAACGTACCCTGAATCTTGAATCGGCCCAACGCACCCCAAATATTGAATTAGCCTAACGTGCCCCAAATCCTGATTTCTACCCGGTTTTGACTGATGAGTTGCGCACTCGATGCCACCATTAGACTAAAAAAAATTGCTGGTCCCAAAGCTGTGCTGAAGAATAGCTTTTTGCTTCAAGTCAACGTAATGGTGGTGATGAACATAGGTGCCTGGTGTACGACCGATTACACGGTTGCTGCATTTCGCTGGCCCGGTATTCCCTTTTTGCCCATATGCACGGGGGCCAGCCCCCCGGCATACAAATACCCTAGGCTGCTCCCCTCCAAAACTTTGAAAGGGAAGTGCGCTAAATCCGTGGTGATGTCGAGCGTTGTGAAAAACAGGGTATCTGTACCTAGGTGCAAATAACAGTTCTCAAGGTCTTCGAAGGCCGTGCGGCCACCGTAAGCATTTTTCCCGTATTGCTGCACCATGTCGTCAGTATCATGCCTCCGTGTCTGAGTGGCGTCTGTTGCACATCAATGGTGTGAAATATATTCCGTGCTTCAGACACGACTGACAGCGCCTCGGCTTTGTATTTTCGTAGGTCCATCAAGATCAATGCCCCTGCAGAATGCTTACGAAATCCAGCCATTAAGATGTCTCGGAGAACATGCAACATGATTGCCATCACACTGAGGATGCAGATCAAGCAATAAAAATGTTATTGCTTGAAAGAAAATGTTAAGTCTCAAAAATCCAGCGATATCAAAGCGAGATGTGCTGGCCTACGGGCAGCGCACCGCGGAGCATGACAGTTAAAAAAAAAAACGTCGCATACCTGAACACCCTGACACTCTCGGAAGCCGCGGTGTCCTACCGCTGGCCACTATAAACGCTGCCGCCGGCCTGAGGCGACTGAGCTATCCTGCTCTACGCGCACGCGCCGTTTACGAGACGAGATAAGGCGTCGGAGGACCCGCGTGTCGCGCCGATGGCGAGCCTAGCGAGCGTTCCGAGGACGCCGCCGGCCGCGAGCGGGCTGGTCCACCGACCCTGTAGCGGTCTCCGGCGCGCCTACCAACACAGCGCAGCTCACAGCCGTCAGGGTGCGCGCTCCGGCTAGCTCGCGCGCTACTTTTCCCACCGGGCGATGGCGCGCTCTGCAGCGGCGAGCGTCACCGCCACCGAGGGTCCTCCTCGGGAGCGTACGGCAGCGCGTGACAGTGGCCCACATCAGCACTGGGTCCCAATATCGACGATGGCACGCGAGCACACATCACAGCATGACACACAGCACAGAACACGGCCCATATGGCATACCCATAGCGTGGAAGCACAACCCCGACATCCGCCTGACGTCGGTCCTGAGCGTGGCATAGGCAGGCCGAGGCGGAAGACACCTGAAGAACGACAGGAATGCCGGCAGCTCCATCTGCCAGCAGCCGCCCGGGCCCGTAGCCCGCACCTCCGGTACGGAAACGGCCTCTCCGCCGGCGGCAGCCAGTCCCCCAGCCGGCGCACGCCAGCGTGTCAGCTGGGCTGGCCGGCCGCGGTTGGCGGTCCGAGATCAGGGAACGCCCATCCGGGCGCCGACACCCGGCCGGTGCCCTCCGTCGCCTCAGGCGTCCCCGGCACACGGCCGGTGCCCTCCGTCGCCTCAGGCGCTGGGCCGGTGCACTCCGCCGCCGCAGGCGTCCCCGGCACATGGCCGGTGCCCTCCGTCGCCTCAGGCGTTCCCGCCACACGGCAGGTGCCCTCAGCCGTCTCAGGCGTCCCCGCCACACGGCCGGTGTCCTCCGCCGCCTCAGGCGTCCCCGGTCCCACCGCCTGCGGAGCAGCACCCCTGTCGTCAGATGACGCGCTGGTCCAGCCAGCAGTCCCGTGTCACTCTCTGGTACGCACCGGCGGCGCCAGCTGAACGCGCAGTGCCAGTGCAAACACGCATCGCGACAATCACCCTGGCACACCACCATTATCGAATATTGAAACCCAGCGTACGTCGAAAGTGTCCGTTGTCGGTGGTAAGTCTAATCGCTGCTTTAAGAACATGAAATATGACGACGAACCCGTGTGTACAAACACAATCATCTCATGAGCCCCGTGACAAAATTGGTCATTTAGCGGTGCAATTCGCATGCATATGAAGAACACGTACTGCACCACCCCTGAAACCACACCACACCACAAAATGAGTGGCAGCCAAATGTACTGACATAGTAGGCGTTTGGCACGAGAGAATCCATGGCAACATTTGACAAACGGCGCGCGCGGTTTCCGGGGCATCCACAGCGTCAAATGGGTGCAGCCGAGGCCGGGGGACACCCACCTACCGGGCTGGGTGGATCGGGGGCCGCTTCAGCGAGGCCAGCTGTGGACGGGGGACACCCACCCACCGTGCTGGGCGGATGGGCGGGCCGCTCCAGCGAGGCCAGCTACGGACGGGGGACACCCACCCACCGGGCTGGGCGGATCGGTGGGCCGCTCCAGCGAGGTCAGCTGACCGGCCGTGGCTCCCAGCGCGCTCAGCAGCTGGCGCAGACGGGCGGCGGAGGCGGCTGGCCGGGCGCTGGCTGCCAGCCGCTGCCGGAGAGGCGCCGCCAGCAGGCGGTCCAGCGGCTGCAGCGCCAGCGCCGCCCAGCTCCGCAGTAGCGCGCCGCGCAGCTCCGGCGACACCAGCTCCGGCTGCTCGCACACTGACGGCACGGCGGCTGGTCACACACGGGAGACGCAGCGGCCGCTCGCACACTGGACACACTGGACACATGGCGCTGGGCGCACGGTGAGCGCTCCCACACCGGGGAGAAAGCGGCGCGGTGATCACCGACGCGCAGGGGACACAACGGCTGCTCCCACACGGATGACGCAACGACATCACAGCTCTCACAATGGACACGCATCCGCTGATCCCACCCGGGGACACGGCGACCTGTGCCGGGTGCCGCACGCTCCGAGGTCACTCACCAATGGCCAGCGTCAGCTCCAAGGTCATGTCCTGCAGGGCCTGGCCCGTGGCTGGCAGCAGGCGGCCCCACTGGGAGTAGACGGCGCCCACCGTGGCCAGCAGGCGCTCCAGTTCGGCCTGGCTCGGGCTCCGCGCGCCCGACAGCACGTCGCACAGCGTGTCCTGCCACACGGACCGGGCCGGTCAGAAACGGCACGGAGTTCTTCCAACACATGGAGTTACCGCATCTACGACGCGCTACGACGCTCGGTCACCACAAATGAGACAAGAGGAGTCAGGGTTCGTCCAACTGACCTTGAGGTCGATCAGGCAGGCGGAGGGCGACTGAATGTCGGCGTCGCTGTCGGGCAGGTCAGCCAGCGCCGGCGCCGGCGGCGGCGGAGGCGAGGCTGAGCTGCGCCGCACGCGCCGCAGCTCGCCGCGACAGTCCTCCGACATCAGGTGCTGCACGAAGTCTGCCGGCCAGCGGCGCCCGGTGGTGAGCGGGGCGGGAAGGGGACGCCGACCGGCTGACGGATGGCGGCGGATGGCGGCGGGTGGCGGCGCAGGCCGGACACGGCGCCGCGCCACTGAAATATCCACGACTGACGACGTGGTCGGCAGCCCGGTTCCCCCTTTTTGCTCAGCCGGTTCCGGGGTGAGCAGCGGGTCCACTCTCCGCCTACGGTCGTCACGATTACCGCAGCGACCGCAAACGTGGATCCACAGACCACAGATACATACTTCATTTCCTATTTGCCACCAGTGGGTCCCGCACAGTCTGCGCCGTGTGTTGGGCACGGCCGCCTCACACACCGTGTACCGCAGCACACGGAGCACACTGGGGCTGTATACCGCCCGCATACAGAAGCACACAGCTGTGTACCGCAGCATACACAGGCACACAGCTGTGTACCGCAGCACACGGAGCACAACTGCTGGTATACCGCAGCATACAGAGCACATCAGCTGTGTACCGCAGCATACAGAAGCACACAGCCGTGTACTGCAGCACACGGAGCACACTGCTGTATACCGCAGCATACAGAGCACACAGCTGTGTTTTACCGCAGCATACAGACGCACACCCCCAGCCGTGTACCCGCAGCACACGGAGCACACTGCTGTATACCGCAGCATACAGAGCACACAGCTGTGTACCGCAGCATACAGAGCACACAGCCGTGTACCGCAGCACACAGAGCACACAGCTGTATACCGCAGCATACAGAGCACACAGCTGTGTACCGCAGCATACAGAGCACACAGCCGTGTACCGCAGCACACAGAGCACACAGCTGTATACCGCAGCACACAGAGCACACGGCCGTGTACCGCAGCATACAGAGCACACAGCCGTGTACCGCAGCACACAGAGCACACAGCCGTGTACCGCAGCACACAGAGCACACAGCCGTGTACCGCAGCATACAGAGCACACAGCTGTATACCGCAGCACACAGAGCACACAGCCGTGTACCGCAGCATACAGAGCACACAGCCGTGTACCGCAGCACAAAGAGCACACAGCCGTGTACCGCAGCACACAGAGCACACAGCCGTGTACCGCAGCATACAGAGCACACAGCTGTATACCGCAGCACACAGAGCACACAGCCGTGTACCGCAGCATACAGAGCACACAGCTGTATACCGCAGCACACAGAGCACACAGCCGTGTACCGCAGCACACAGAGCACAGAGCCATGTACCGCAGCATACAGAGCACACAGCTGTGTACCGCAGCACACAGAGCACACAGCCGTGTACCGCAGCATACAGAGCACACAGCTGTGTACCGCAGCATACAGAGCACACAGCCGTGTACCGTAGCACAAAGCCGTGTACCGCAGCGCACAGAGCACACAGTTGTATACCGCAGCATACAGCCATGTACCGCAGCATACAGCCATGTGCCGCAGCACACAGAGCACACAGCCGTGTATCGCAGCACACGGCCGTGTACCGCAGCACACAGAGCACACAGCTGTGTACCGCAGCACACAGCCGTGTACCGCAACATATAGAGCACATAGCCGTGTACCGCATCATACAGCCGTGTACCGCAGCATACAGCCGTGTACCGCAGCACACAGAGCACACAGCCGTGTACCGCAGCATACAGCCGTGTGCCGCCGCCCGTCGCCGCTCTCGGCTTACCTCGCGTCACG